TTGACGATAGTGCGCGTGAATTCGATCGCCAAGTTCAACATATTCGCTCCCATCCATATGAAGTTAGGCAACGCTTCAAACTCTACTCCTGGACTGTCCAGACTCTCTTCGTGGCTGTTGGTGGTGAGTCATCACGGCAGGGTATCAAGTGGCCGCGGTTGTATACTCTTGCTCGCAGTGCTACGTCCACTCTTCTTCCAGAGACGCATGGTCATGAGGGTGATCTTCATTCTCTGCGATCTGATTTCCCTGTGTTCGAGTGTTGCGGGAGCTTCCTTCTCTCGCACAGTGGTGGTGATATCACAATGATACGCAAATAGTTCTTGGCTGATTTCTCTGGTATCAAGTTTCGGGCCCTCTCGACTGGTCGTCAATCTGTCTTGATGCTGCGCGGAGACAAAGGCGCCATGTTCATCTACAATGTTCAGGTTCCTCCACAAGACTCGATGAAGATTAAGAAGCTTGCGCTCTTGAAATTGTCTCGTCACATCCCGACGTTCGAGCGTGGTCTTGCGCTCATGGCCGGAGATTTCAAGTGCTTATCGCCTGGGGGCGCCCGCTTTTGCACGCTCGACGCTGATCGCATTCACAAATCTGACTCGCTTGGCACATGTTTCGAAAATCTTCTCGGTCGAATGTTAGAGTTCCAGCAGGACTATCCGACGCGCCGTGCAATGCAACAGGAGCGCTTGGTATCTGCCGCTCGTACTGGCAAAATCCATGTGAACGCGCCGACGGGTGCTGTATGTGATTGGCATGTATCCGTGGGAGTTCAGTTGAAAGCTACTTCTCTGCACGAGCCCAGTGATCGTGCACCTCTCTATCTTCAGCTTCGAGCAGGCCGGCCCTCTGGAGATAATATTGCTCGTCGCAATCCATCGCGGGTTATGCGCGAGCCTGCTTTTGCGGAGAACTTGGCTGTGGTCATGATGGACATTCCGCCATCCTGGCGCCCATTTGAGAAGCTGAAGTTTTTGAAATATGCCATGCACTACGCTGCTGACCTTACCAAAGAGCAGTTGTCTTTTCGTGGTCCTGAGACCCCAGAGGAGAAGGTCAGCTGGGTCTTCGCGGTTATGCGCGCTGTGGAATCTCAATTTTGCCTGATTCGAAAAGCTCGTCATGCCGTACCTGAGTTTAGGCAGTGCATTGCAGAAGATATGACATGGACTGATCTCGCTGGTTTCCACTCTTTTATGCGATCGGCCACTCCAGCCCACCTCCGCGCGCAGGAGAGTGGGCGCGATAACAGCGAGACGCTCGACGTTCCTTTTAAATTCAGCAGAAGGATAAGCTTCAACGATTACACGCTGCTTGGGCTGATCGCAATCGTCGGCAATCATTGCATGCTGTTGTTGGCCCTGACGGGCGGGAAGCACCTGGTGAAGCTTCGGACGCCGCTATGCTTGCTTCATACTGGGGGAAGGTTCATGAGACCAAGGAGGTTAGGGGGGGGGGCACTATCGCCCGTTTGTGCAGGCTGCTTCTATTGACGTTCGCTGGCAGATCCCCCTCGGCACGCTCAGAGAAATGCTTCGTAAAAGGATCGACGCTGCCCCTGGCCCTGATGGCACCCCATTCTCTTGCTATCGCCACGGAGGAGATGGAGCTAGTCAAATACTAAATGAGGTCTATCAGTGGGTTGTGGGAGGAGAAGAGCTGCCTGCTGATTTCAATGACTTCTGCATGGCTTTCCTACCTGAGAGTATCCTCCCTCGCGAAGCTATGGATATTGCGCGCGCCTGCTACTACTCGTCCGCTTTCGCTTTCCGACGCCTCGAGCAAAGTGATCTCGCACGCGATCGACTCGGGCCTAGCACTCCAAGCACAGTATACAGTAGATTGGGCTCAGACGGGGTTTGTCAAGGGCAGACAGATGGCTGATAATATTTTGGAAGTCTCGTCGTCTCTGTCGGTATGGGGCGATGTAGAGGGCAATCGCGATTGTGGGGCCACAGTGGTGGATTTCAAAACGGCTTCTCCTAGCCTCGCTCCTTCCTGTTTCTTCTGGTTGCTTATGGTCATGGGCTTGCCTGCATATTGTGCATAGCATCCGCGCGCTCTACACTAATATGCGTGCATCGATTGTATATTCTGGGGCTGTCTTTATGGGCTTCACCGTTCTCTCTGGGATTAAGCAGGGCTGCCCGATGTCTGGCCCGATATTCGCGTGAGCTCTTGACCCAGTGGTCCGTCGCATGCGCGCTTGTCTTCCTCGGCCGTTGTCGTTCATTAAGTGTTTCGCAGACGATTTGGCTCATGCATCGAGGGATCTGTATCGCACTCTTCCTGAGCTTTTTTTTTCGATTACTAATTTCATGTGGATATGCTTCTAGGCTTTTGATCAACACTCTGAAGACATTGATTATCTTTCACTTCCCTCGAGATCGGAGTCAGATCTTGGAGCGCTTGAGGTTCGCCGGCCTGAACGCCGCAAACTTGCAGTTCGTTGACATGGGCGCTTATCTTGGCATTCGCAGTGGGCTGAATGATTTTGTTGACTCTTGGAGGCGGCCGATAGAGAAATACCGACTGCGGTTATCTTTTTGCAGAAAATTGAATGTTGGCCTCACTCAGACAATGATAAGTTATAGTGTATTTTGGCTATGAGCGTCTTGACTTACGTCGCGCAATTCTTCTCGCCGGCTGACGCGGTTCGTCGATGTCAGCGTGAAGGGCTTCGAGTGGTTATTGGTTGGCCTCGTCATTCTCTGCGTCCTGATCTTTTATAGCGGTTGAAGGAACTTGGTTTCCTTGTGCAAGCGGTGGATATTGCTCGGTATGCTGCTGCAGCGCAATATCGTCTGGCTCGTCGCCCTGGTGTATTCCAAAGGCTCATTGATGAGTATCATGATTTTCTTGATGGCAGTAACTGGTTGGTCGCTCATGAGTGCAATCCGAGATTCACCACTGGACACGGCTCAACTGTGCACCACGCGTTCCCGATGATCCGTGGAGGAATGACTTTCAGAAATGTGTTCTTGCTCAACTGAATATGCACGAAACTCATGTGTCTTTTTATCTACACATTCGAATGGATTGCTGGATGAAGGATCGCCGCAGCGATCGAAACGACGCTACACTGATGCTTATTCGCATGTCGATGGTCTCCGCGCAGTTGCCCTGCTTCGTCCTCGCCAGTGTTCTCAAGACCGTGTGTAATGGATGGGCTACTTCCGCTCGATATTTTCAGCCACGTGATGTATGTCGGTTCGGATGCAAGGCCAGCTCTTGTGATGCCATCCCTCACTATTTCTCCTGCCCGCACTGTGTAAATGCTGTATCACATCTTCTGCCATGTATGCCTGGCTCCTATTTCCTCGGTGACCCCATGCAACGATTCCTGCCGCATCTCTTTGAATGGGGAACTTCAGAGGAGCTCAGAAGTATCGTAGTAGGTATTGAGCTCGCACACTCTGTGTATCATAGAATGCGCGCGCGTGAATATTATTGTCCTGTTCTCTTCCTTCGTCTCTTGCATGCCCGTGCACGTCAGCTGTTGCGTCGCCGTAAGTGTCTTGTGTCTATTTTCTCGAATACCACACCTGCGCTTGATCACTGTCGCTGTCCAGCCGATCGCATCTTGACTCAGCTCGTCGCTATTGGACGGACGTTCTGCCCTCGTCTCGTTTCTTGTCCGCCCGCCCTCTTCTCGTTTTGCCCTCTTCTCGCCTCTTGCCCGCCTGCCCTCGTCTCGTCCCTTGTCCTCAGCGCGAGTCCTGATCGTCACTTCATCATCATCCTCATCATGAGCTCCATCATCATCATCATCATCAGGACACCATCATCGGAACGCCATCATCACCAACAACGTCATCATCAACCTCATCATTATAATCATCGTCATCATCGGGACACCATCATCATATTCATCATCATCAGCATATCATCATCATCCTATTGTTATCAATATCGTCAGGATCATCAACAACACCATCATCATCGGGACACCATCATCAACCTCATCATCAGCAACATCATCAACATCCTCATCATCGGGACACCATCATCACCACCATCACCATCATCATCATCATTAACATCGCCAACCTCATCATCATCATCATCATCATCATCATCGGGACACCGTCATCATCACCACCACCACCACGATAATCATCATCATCGTCATCGTCATCAACTTCATCATCCTCATCATCGGGACACCGACTGGACACCGACGGGACACCGGCGGGACACCGGCGGGACACCGCACGGCACCGGCCCCCGGAAAGGAAACATTTGGTCTGGCCGCGCCTCAGCCAGAGGCGGGACACCGGCGGGACATCGCCCGGCACTGCCCCCTGGAGAGGAATCATTTGGTCCGGCCGCGCCTCAGCCGGAGGAGACTTTCTTCTCGCCCGCCCACGCAACTTCGCCTCGCCCGCACGCGCGGCACGCACGAACACGAAACCGACAACGATTTCCCGGTAGGGGGGCTTTCCTATCCATCTCGATGTTACCCCTTCACCTCCGATCTACGACGGATCGTGGCTTCGCTAGTGCGGACACGTGTTTTTTTCCAAGGTATCTTTGCTCTGGGAGCGCGATTCTACCGATTAGATTGTGGCTTCGGGAGTGCGGGTCATGGTTTTGTACGAAGGATTGTGGCTTTGGGAGCGTGGATCCGTCGCGTTTTTAGGCCGAGGGGTGTCGGCGCGGCGTTAGGAGCTGAGAATTCCGCCTCCTCAGGAACCGATCCGATGTGTGCTCTGAAAGCTCGTGAGCTGCAAATCACGGTTGTCAAGTTGTGAAGTTTCTATGGGTATCACAACATTGCGGCTTGCCTCATAGCGCTGGCGAGAGCTATGCAACGCAGCTGCTGAAATTTGAGCTTCGCAGCTTGATGGCTCCTGAAAAGGAGCCTGGCGGATATACGTGTCTTCTTTTTCCAGGGGATCAAGTCCAGCAGGTTTCAACTTAGAAGGGAAAGGCATAGCTGTTTTCGACCTTGACTTCGAGGGAGATGTCTGGGGCCGCGCCGGTCTGACCACGCACAGGAGATCACGGCGGCAAGGCTGGACGAGTGGTGGGCCAAGCTGTCGCCTCGCCTGAAGAGTTTCCGGGACAATTGCCTGACGTCGCAGGGTCTCTACCGCGTCGTGACCGGGCAGGTCTCCTACTGCCAGTAGCCGCTCTGAGGCAAGCGCCGCGACGGCGCTCCAGCAAGCGCATGCAGGCCCTCCGAAGAAAGAGCGGCCGCCGCCTGCTTATCGGGAGATCCTTCCAGGGAAGCCTGCAGCGCGTTTGGGGCTCCGACGCTTCGTCTTGAGCGACCTGGCCCACCACTCTTTCCCAGGCCATTAGCTGGCTGGGCCCTCCTGGCTGGGGCCGAAGGGCTCGAATCTGCGAGCATTCATCCGTCAAAAGGAGGTCGGCCCCCTGATGCCCCCCCAGCTTGCTCTGTTGTGTATTTCTAAGTCCTTCCCATCCAGACAGCATGCCAGTGCGAGGATCGAGCCTACTCGATCATCGGGCGGCTCTCCAACGCGCATCCGCCCGCCGCCCTCTCCTCAGGAGGGTGGGACGAGTTGGGATGTGTAGAGGTGGGATGATGAGGGAGGCAGCTAATCCTCCTCCCGTTTCCCCTCCGTGCCTATTGCAAGTTGGCTGGCGCGATTTTGCAGGGCAGTGGGTTGCTTCCTCCTCCTCGTCCTCCTCCTCCTCCTCCTCCTCCTCCTCCTCCTCTCCCCCCTCCTCTCCCTGCAGGTTTCTCCAGGGAGCCAGCCTACAGGGTTTGTGAGGTTTCGATGCGCTGTCGTTCCGCTGAGCGCGTACGGCAGTGTGGTGGAATGCTCGTTTCACGTCATGGAGGAAAATCCGATGAGCGCGGCGAAGGCGAAGCCTTCGCTTCGCCCAAACAGCATTGCCACTTTCACGCGCAATCAGCGCGGCGCTTGGGCGAGGGCAGCATTTCCCCCGCTCTCGCGCGGCCCCGGTGCCGCTGCTACTTTCATGCGACTCGGTGAGAGAATCATGCGCCGCGCCCACGTGGGAACGCCACTTCAGGCGAATTGTGCACGGAGCTTGGGCGAGAGTGACAAGTCGCCCGTTCGCGTGCGGCCTCGCATCCAGCTGTTTGACGAGTGAAATATATGCGTCGCGCCGACGTGGGAGCGCCACTTTCGGGCGAATTCTGCGCGGCGCCGAGGCTGGGGCGAACTTTTCGTCCGCCCGCTCGCTCCTCGACGAATTGGCGAGCGAAAAATGTGCGACACGGCCCAGCGGGAACACACCCCTCAGTAACAATGAGCGCGGCGCCGAGGAGCAAACGACTTTACGCCCGCTCGGGCGGGATATGCGCACCATCCCTTTCCCGCCACGCATTCTCCGACTCCGACGCCAAAACACCAATGCTGAGTGGCAAAACGTCGACTTGTGTATGGGGCTTAACAAGTAAGATGGAGCCACTCGAATGCAGCCCCGATCTGCCAGGTAGGCGACCTAGTTGGAAGACATACAATACTTAATCATGATACGGGGATCGTTATGATGATGCCGAGGAGGAGGAGGAAGAGGAGGAGGAGGACGAGGAGGAGGAAGAGGAGGAGGAGGCGGAGGAGGAGGAGGAAGAGGAGGAGGAGGACGAGGAGGAGGAAGAGGAGGAGAGTGAGGAGGAGGAAGAAGAAGAAGAGGAGGAGGAGGACAGGGAGGAGAGGGAATGCGGACGACAGAGCTAGTAAGGAGGGGCAGGAGGAGGAGGAGTAGGGAGCAGGAAGAGGAAGAGGGAGAATGAGGAGGAGGAGGAGGTGGAGGAGCAGGAGGAGAAGGAGGAGGGCTGTTGGACCTTGCGACCCAGCATGAAGTGCACGATGCGGGGAAGGGGAGGGGGAAAGGGGAGTGAAACCATAGGTCGCGGCCGTGGCTCCGCCGGAGGCCGCCGACACCTCCGCTTAGAAGTTCGTGCGGCCGATTGAGGAGTCAGGAGGGGGTATGGAGAAAGGCGGATGCGGTCTGGTGCAATTTGGAAACTGCGCGGTTCTGTGGACGTCTTGGTGCCCTCTCAGTGCCGTCTTGGACCGTAATTGGGGTTTCGTGTTCTGGCTGGAACCTTCCCAGCGTAATAAATTAAGCTGGAACGCTTTGGACACAAAAACGTTTGGGAGTCCGCACGCTGTTGTTTCTTGCCTCTCATGGCCTTGCGTAAGGCCCCTTTGGGTGCTTTATGGGGGCATCTTCAGGTTTCTTGGGGAATGTTGGAGCAGTTTGGGGAGTTGTGAGTTGTGTATGCTGATGTATGAGCCGTGTGTCTGGATTTTGGCTCGTTTTGGAGCTCTGTTTGGGCGGTCTTCGGTAGCGTAAGGGGGAGGCGTATTTGGCATATGCGTGCGATGGGAGGTATGTGTGTGTATATGTGTGTATGTGTGTGTGTGTGTGTCTGGTGGATGGGCTGGTGGTGTGGGGTGGGTTAGGGGTGGAGGGGCGCCTTTGTAAAGTTACAGGAACCTACCAAACAAGTTACCAGCACTCTTACACTACAATATCGTGCAAATACCGCTGCGGATGTCAATCACGACGGTTAGCATCGGTAGACTATGGTGGCAAGGGAGGGAGGGAAGTGGACAGAAAAAAATGAGGAAGGAGGGAGGGAATCTGATCAACGGATGCGACATCCGCCTGCAATCGTTTCTTGCTCGAGATAGGCAGCGCTTTTTCCCATTCCAGTTTTGGTACTTGGGGGCGACCCTGCGAGACACAGCCCCCGCCTTAGCGAACTGTCATCCTCTCAGCCCTCCTGTTCCTGTTCCTCCTCCTTCTCCTCCTCCTCTTCCCCTTTAGCGTATCCATGTTGGCTCAAGTTGACACCGCGGACCCTGGCGGCTCGACCTTGTCCGCTGCCGAGGGTCAGGCTCGAAGCATGACCAGTTTTCCATCGCCGCGCATTCTTCAGTTCCGCGACGGGGCGGCGCTCGGCCAGGGCGAAGCGTAAGGAGAGGAGTGAAGAATGCCGTGAGGGCCGCCGTGGGCGAGATCTAGATTGATGACCCGCCACTAGTCCATTGCGCTTGGAGTGGCCTCCTGACGATTCGACGAACACATCGGCAGCGGCAAGCCAGGTCGTCGACTGCGCCTTGTTGGAGTACGCACGCATCGCCTCTGGTGGCAGCCCCGTCATCCAGCAGACGTCGCAGAAGTCCAGATCCGCAGTTTCCAGCATCTCATCAGGAGCTTCTTTGGCTGGCGATTCTGGCCCTGGGGCGGGGGCCCTTTGAATGGATGCAAGGGGTCAGTCGGCACTGGACCTCGCAATGTTACTCCCGCCAAGAAGGGGAAACACGGGGAATCCATCGTCAAGCCGTTGCTGCCAAGACATACCCTCACCCACGCTACTCCCATGCTTAATGGCGTCTTCAGGATTATCCCCTGCACTCTCACCGACACTGTCGTGGCGCGGATTTGTATTTCTTGCGTGGCAAAGTGGTAGGTTGGCTCTACTCACGCGCCGGGGCCATAGCGACGTTCAGACTGCGCCGAAGTCTTCCAGTTTACATACGCGCCGCACAGCGAGCTGCGAATAGAGTGTGTCTGAGACGTTCCATACCTTTCGTGATCTTCAATGGAGGGTAAATGGTTGCCGCCTATGGGCGAATGGCTTCCAGTGTTCTTTCACTTGGCTTCGGCCTTGGGCGCGACCGTGCTCCTCTAGATCAGGGATCGTGAGAAAGCGGGTTTCATGGTCGAGTGCGTGGTCGTTCATTGCGAAGGAGCCGATCGACATTCTTCAATGCAGTATTGGTTCCACCTAGGAAGCACAGGTGCGAGATACTAACATAAGATGGTGGGGCGGTTTTTGTTGCTTCCGAGGGTGCAGCACTCGGCGTGCTGGGACTTCGTTTCGACGTCGAGGGCAGGACGGTCACAGCTGCGAGCAAGCAGTAGGAGCCCCGCCTGTTTATGCGCGAGTCACCGCCCTTTTTCCTCCTCGCTGTCGTCTTCGTCGTCGTCTCGTTCGTCCTCGTATCCGTCCTTGTGCTAGTCTTCGTCGTCCTCACCGTCTTCATATCATTCCAGCATGTCCCCTGCGGCTCCATTGCTTGCGCCAGTTCTTCCCCCGGGTTGCCTAATCTCTACTTGCCCATCTGCAGATCCCTGGAGACAGCCGTGGAGTAACAGTGACTACTTGTTGTTTGATGTCCTCAGACGCCGTTTGCTGCGTTTACGGAGCCCAGGACGTTGGGCCACGCCTGTGGAAGCGAATGGCGAGCCTGTAGAAACAGTTTCCGACATTGAAGATCGTGGGATCTTCGGTGATCACGGCGAGTTGTTGGTGCATTGCAGTTCTTCGCAAGAAATGCCAGCTTTGCGTTTCAACGCTTTCAGGTTTGCCGCTATCGGCCCTGGAAATTGGGTCCTTCGGATGAGGAGGGAGCTCGGGGACCAGGGCCTGGTACATGCGCATAGTGGCCCGCAGCTGACTCGCGCGCAGGTGCGGGGCTGGCTTGCAAACATTCAGAAGCGCAGACGTCCTGCGAGGACATGTCCACGGTCTTGGTCAGGGCCGACTTCAGCTCGACGAGGTTGGCCCCAACGCTATTGCCTTGTATGTCGGATTGGTTTCAACATTAATCCCTTAGAGTTAATTTGCGCGAGTGTGCCTGCGGAGCCGTTCGCCAGAGTGAAGTCGTATTGGTTGGAAGATTAGATTGCGCGCGCCTTTCAGCCCCCGCCAGCGAAATCCCAACTTCGACGCCTTCGCAGGCGCCCTTGGGGACCTTCTCGGCCTCGGGAGCCCGAGGCGGATATTGTTTTGTCTGGTCCTTGCCGGGTCAAGCCCGCATCTGCGATCGGGCCGCTCGCCCCCTGCGGCGCGGCATCCCGTTGGCCCCTGAGGGATGTTGTTTCGGGACTGGTGCCTGGTGCCCAGGCTTGTTCTCTTCCCTGTCAGAATTTTCTGGGTCGTTCGTCACCCGGGCTCGCATCGCGGGTTGTGGGCTGCAGTCGAAGTGCGCTCCAGAAAGGGCGTGGCCCTCTTCGAAACGAAACGGCCTTCCCGTCGCTGTAGCGCTCCTGTCTGCTCGACGCCCCATTGGCGATCAGGTTGTTTGTCCTAGTTCGCGTTGTCATGCTTCTTTGCGAGATGGTCCTGGCGTTGCTCAAGTTTCGAGGGGGCTGGCCATCTTGCTTCGCGCTGGCGGGGGTCTTGAACATGGCAGCCCTCGTAGCGGCCAGCCGTGTTCGCTGGCAGCAAACCCGCTCTGAGGTCCACGATGCGGCGCCTCACGCAGTCTTCTGGGTTTTCGCTTTCTTAAGCGTTTGCCATCGCGAGCGACTGGTTGAAATGTGCACCCCGGGAAGTCGTTAGTTATCAGCGCGGGCCCAATGCCGCAGGTTTCACGTCCGAGTGCGGCGCGCTTTCTGGCGTTGTAATTGAACGAGGATGCCGAGAGATGTCTGGCAAAAACCTGGGGGTGAGCTCTGGGGAGGTCGTGGCAGACTCGAGCAATTGGCCAGGGGTTTGCCGTCGGCTTGCTGGCCCGCAACCGGGCTTGGGCCACGTGGGCCAGATCGCCCCACCGAGAAGGATCATTTCCGTCTTGCATTTGATTATGCGCAGAAGTTGCGTGCTGAACCCTTGGTTTGGATCAGTCATGGGGTGGTACTGAACCTCTCCGTCTTCGGCTATAAACGCGGCGTTCGGGATTTGCAGTTTTCTTGCAGAGCTGCTGTTTGTCGTCTCGCGCGTCGCTGTGTTACCCTCGGGGGGCGTGGAAGGGGAACGCGTTAACAATTGCGAAACAGACGTTTGGCTGCTTGTTCATCGTCATAACCGTTTGGCCGCTCGGTCAAGCTGGTGGTGTTTGACGGCTATCGGGGCCAAACTTGAGCGATCCTTGGGGTACCCCATGAACGAGAGTGCTTGGCCCTGCCGTAGACAGTTTGTTAGGGGCCTACTGCGCAGTCGCCTGGCGAAATATCATCGTTCGGTTTTTCAGCAGCAAGCCTGTACCACTGGCTCCCACGTATGCCTCGACGCGTGTCATGTCTCCAGCCCCGAAAGCTTTCAGCAACCACCGGGGCTGTTAGGCCAGGTCTTCGATTTCAAATTCGCGCTTGCATCGGCTACTAGACGGTTGTGCGGATTGTCTGCTCCACTATTTCAGATGTTCTGCCGTAAATAGCGCTTTTCTTGCATTTGTCGTTTTCTCCTGGGGCGCAGGGGTCTCGTCTCACAAGTGCGCACTAGTTGAACGGTCTTCTCTGGCTTGCCTGGTCATTCTTCTTCCAGTCTTCGATTCATACGCGCTGTATTCGACTCGCGTATCTATCGTATTGGGGGCCAGGGTCGGAGGAGTGCGCGGGCGATGGCCCCGAATACTGCAAGTGGTGCAACGAATTTGGCGCCTCTTTCGTTATCCTCTTCGTCCGAGTGCAAGTCTTTCTCTTCCACTTCCTTGAAGTCCCCACCCGCTGCGCTGTTTCCAACCCCTCACCCCCTCCTCCCTCCGTCTCGCCCTCCCCCCCTCTTCCTCCTTGCAGGCTTTCCCTCGCCTTTCCCCTTCGCAGGAGCCGCGACCGTTGGCCTCACGTGCGTGGGCGCGGCCCAGCCCATGGAATCACCCAGGGGGATCCCTGGGCACGACGCACGGTCGCCCCCCGATGCACGACCCTGACCCCAGGTCGTCGCGCACACACGACGGGCGCGTCTGAGCGATTTCGGTTTCCAGGTCCGTTCTCGAGCTCCGTGGGTCGTCCGAAGGACTGGCGCACTCCTCCTGGTCGGCCCCAAACTCGTCGGAGTTCAGAGGGCAGGCGGCCGTCTCACCCGCAGCGGCGTTCCGATGAGGTGGAATGCGGTGAGGTCACAGTGAAAGTTGCATGGCATCGAGGAGCAAATCATGATTGGAGTTCTCGACGCCGCGTCAGGCAGGACTCCCCGAACCGGGCCAATCTACGAGGGCCTTGGGGCCCGAAGCGTGTCAGAGACGCCCTGCGTGCTTTGTTCATCCCACTCCAACGCGAGGGTCGTCTTTTCCAGATTCGGTCACCGCTGACCCCTAGTCTTCGCTGGCACCGCCCTGGCCCGTTTCCCGAACCGCATGTCGTGGCACGATGGCGGGCTCGAAGGCGCAGATAAAGAGAGGGAGAAGGGGATGGACGAGGAATAGGGGAGTGGAGTTGGAGGATGGATGGGAGGGAATGGTAGGATGATGGGGATGGGGGAGGGGGAGGACGAGGAGGAAAGGGCGGAGGGGGAGGAAGAGGAGGGCGAGGAGGAGGAGGGGGAGGGGGAGGAGGAGGGTGACGATAGTGCTGGACTCGAAATCGGAACTTCTACCAGCTCCTGGACCAGATGTGAGAAGGGGAAATGAGGAGGATGACCAGAGCAGACACATGACGCGTCAACGATGCTGCGATAAACCCCCTGTTGTCTCAAATCCCCTCCCGTTCCCTACGCGTATTCCTCTCACTACGGGGAGCTCCGCTCACTTGAAAGACGAGCGCCAATGGGCATGACATTCAGGCTGACACGTCGTTTTGAAAAAGAGCCTTACCTGTACCCGTGTATCAAAAACCAATGCCACTATGCATGATTATATGAGGTAGCGTTTAGTGTTGTGTGGGACTTCACGTTTCTTGCAACACATGTGAAAGTGCCAACATGTGGAACGACGTCGACCTTCACGCATACAACTGACGCACCTGTTCATGCTTCCGGTAGGAGTTCGCGTAGACGTCAAGTGAGAGTTGGTCGCCTTGGGTTTAGCGTACAGCTAGGGTGGACCTTGTTTTGGGGCCCGCTTCGGGCCCCTCTCGCGGGAGCCAGCGTAGGAGTCCTGTTGACATGTAGTGCAGAATGTTTGTTTTCAAGACGACGGGCCCTCGGAGTTCGCGAATCCTTCAGGCTCTATTTCTTGCCCTGTAGGCGGCCCTGCTCAGCAGCGGTTGGCAGCGGGCACCGAATGGGGGGGTGGAAGGAAATCTGAGGCGGCGTGCCCGCCGAGGCCGCGTGTCACCGATCCAGAGATGGGCGCTACTTCCAGAATGATGTGGATACTGGTGCTCTTGACGATGAGGGGAATGAGTTCGAAATAGGGGAAGGGGGAGGAGGAGAGAGGGAGTGATGGAGGGGGTAAGGCGCGGAGTGGCAGGAGGGAATGAAGAGGAGGAAAGGGGAGATGGCGAGAGCGGAAGAATGGGAGAAAGGGGCGAAGAAGGGAGGGGTAAGCAAATAAGTGGGATTAGGAGGTAGAGGTTTGAGAAGTGAATATGAGGAGGAGGAGGAGGAGGAGGAGGTCCAACAGGGAGGACATGTGAGGTGCGTGGCGATGATACTCGTTTAGCCCGCAGTTGAGACATCGCATGTTGGAATCTCGAAAGTATTGTGCCTGGTCGTGCTGGACACGATGCCTTTAGACATCCCCTCCCACTTCTGCTTGCTCTATCTTGTCGTCTTCTTAGCGCTTGCCGTTGTCGATCTTCGGGGTTGTCGTACGGCTGGCGCGCGGCGGTGTTGCTTTGTGCATGAGCGCTGACGTGTATGTTATATATACACATAGAATTGGTTTTGCATGCGCTCGCCACGCGTGTCCCCAGGGCCAAGCACCCTGGCCTGCTGTGGTGTTGCTGGGCCCCTGTTCCTTCTTGTTCGACTTGGGGTCCGACTCACACGACTGGCGCTGTGCCCCACATGTTCAGTGCACTGCTTGGTTTCCAAGCGCGAGAACCTTCGATGCGTGATTCATTGCTGGTGTTAACCACGTTTCATTTGCTCACGCCAGGCCGATACTCGTGTCAGTCACTTCGCCTTTGCCATCTGAGCTTCGCCTTCCCATCTCCCCTACCACCCTGCCACCTCGTGTGTCCCTTTCTCCTCCCTCTCCCTCTCTTTTGCCCTTCCCTCCTGCCCTTCTACTCTTCCTTCCACTCTCCCTCTTGCCTCGCCCTCCCGAGCACAGGCTGGCGTCAGGGCTGCCCCGGTGGGGGCACGTCCGGCCGCAGAGGCGACGGCGCCCGAGCCCAACTGCGACGGACCGCCCCGCCGCCTGGCGCCGTCCGCACTGAAGAGCCCTCCTCGTCAGGTGTTGCCATGGGGTGGCTCTGGCCCCGAGGCGGCCCGAGCTCTCCCAGAGCATCCTTCGCGGGACCCAGGGGCGCCTCGGGGTCAGGGCGGTCACCTCTGGCAATCTCTGACCCTGCTTGCTGGGGCGTGTGTGTGTGTGTGTGTGTGTGTGTGTGTGTGTGTGTGTGTGTGTGTGTGTGTGTGTGTGCGTCCGTAGCCGCCTCAAGGCGTCTGCGGACCCTCTCCTCGGGGTCTCCTGCGCTCAAGGGGGCGCCCGACGCAAAGGGCCCCGCCCCCGCGCCGCCGCCGCCAGGTCTCTGCGGCCGTCTGCCCGCCCCTCCGTGCCCGGCCTAGCGATGAACCTTGCGGGGGGCTCCTCGGATGGGAACCCCCCACCACGCGCCCGGAAAGCGGTGACGGATGTACCGAAAGTTCGCGTTTGCGGTCCCCAAACTTTCCTTCGACATCATCATTGCGTCTCCGACCCTGGTAGAACGGGTTCGCATCCAGCCCGCTGGGCCTAGCGTCCTGATCCTGCTAGAGTCCCTGGCGGCGCCCGAGAATGGCTCCGTCGACGCGGAGCATGATGAGGAGGAGAGCGCCAGTCCTCCTGACGCCACTGCTGGCGCGCCTGCCCAGAGCCCCCCACATAGCACCGATGATCACGACGCGCGTGGTGGCGCACGGCAGATCCCTCAGACCGACATCGTTGCCCCCTTCGGACGGCGGCACCACTGAGTGGAGGGCGAGTCTGAACCCCCCATGTGGCGCGCCTACTCCACGCCTCCTCTTCATAGCTGACATCGAGGGCGAAGATGAGGATAACTGTGGATTTTTCAGACCCCCCCGCAGGCAACGGGCATTCGTCCCGAGGCTGCCAGCCCCCAGCCGCCTGGCGCTGGACCTTGCCCGCTCGGCGGGCATGACGGATTGCCCCCCGTTCAAGAACGAGCCCACCTTCAGGACCACGACGGGCCCCGTTCAATCGATGGGGGGATTGTTGAAAGTACCTCGAGCGGCGGGGATGAGGTTAGGGCCTCCGGGGCCCCCGTCGTCCGAGTGGCCTTCCCCCAGGATGGCTGCCAAGCGTTAGCCAACACGTGTGATGAAACCCCTCCTGACGTCCCTGGGTACATCCAGTTGAGAGGCGGAGAAGAAGGGCCTCCCGAGGCCCGAAGCTCCCCCGTCTCTTATGAACCCTTGGGCATCCTAACGAACTTCCTCCTCATGTTTCGGACGCCCCTCATGCGCCGGGGTGGCGCCCCTAACAGGGCGCCACCCCGGCTGCAGGAGGGGCTCCCCAGCATCCACCATTTAGTACACCTGTTCGGTGTCCCCCCCTCCCCACCGCCGCTGCCCTGCCGCCGGCGGCTGCTGGCCCTGGAGCCCCGCACGGGCTCGCTGGGTACCTGGAGGACCACAGCGCACCTCCACCGAATGAAGGGGGGAGTGGGATCGGCCTTCACTGTTCCCCGTCTGGTCTGGCCCAGTCACACATCGCCGACCCTTGCCCACCCCGCGGCGCCGTTGTCACGTTGGGGACTGAGACACCCCCTTCGGCTGTCCAGGACGCCTTCCAAAGGAACTGTGGCGCGTCCCCCTCGGTCCCTATGGGGCAGAACCAGGGGGTCGATCCCCCCAGAACGGAAATTCCCCAGAGCGGGCAAGCCTCTGAAGGCTAACAGTGCCCCCCCCCCCCCCTGCAGACCCGATGACAACGTTAGTGACTCTCCTGCCCAGGTTGCCGCTTGCCCCCCGCGCACCAGGGAGCGTCCCGTGCAGGACGCGCCCCAGGCAGCAGGGAGGGCCCCCGCGTCTCCCGCATTCAGTACCTCTTTTCGGTGTTCCCCCTGCCCCGCTGCGCTGTTCGTGGACTACCTGGTGGACCCGCCGGCTGCCTGGAGGACCCCTGCGGGCCTCCCCCAATCGCAGGAAGGGTCTGGGCTTGATACCCCGAATGGCGATGCTTCTATTTGGACCCAACCGGGATCCCCCTCTGGCCATGCCCCCCAGGGATACGATGGGCCCTATCCCCCACGCGGGAGCGATAGACAGGTCGGCTCGACCACCCTCGCGAGAGTCGCCCCCTGTCCTCCAGACGTCCGGGGTACGTCTTCAAGCGAACGGAAACACTTCTTCTCCCGCCCCTCGGGCCAGGACCAGGAAGGGTCCCCTCCCTTGGCCGGGCCTCACGGAAGAGACGCTTCAGGCGTCCGAGGGCATCCTACTCCCCGTGCTGCTGTGGACGATTCAAGTACCCCGTTTGCTCAGGTCTCAGCGTGCCCTCCGCGCACCGATGAGCTTCCCTGTCAGGAAGCTACCTAGTTCGCTGGGACGGCCCCGCTGATTCTCACAATTAGTGCACCTGTTCGGTGTCCCCCCCGCCTCGCCGCCTGCCGCCTTGCGCCTGGAGCCGCCGGGGCGCCGCCGCCGCGAAAACCAGGAACTGCCCTGGGCGCGTCGCTGACCCCCCCGGCGGGGGCGATACTCAGGCCCCGAACCAGGACGGGGATCTCCCGGGTCTGTCGGGGAGCGGGGACGACGTCGGGAGTCGTGGCCAACGCGACGGGGCCCAGGAGGCCCCCTCTTAAGTTTGGGCCCCTCCCTCCTATTCCGGCGCAACCCCAAGATCACCACCTTCGCGTCGGCGGTGCCTCGCAGGTGTGAGGGCGCGATCTCCCCGTCAACCTTGTGCCGACCAGCCCCTGCGACCTCGAGGCCCCCCCATCGCGCTCCCGAGTGCCAACTTCAGGAGCACCTCAGGGCCCCAGGCGCGCCGCCTGGTGGAGAAAGTCCCCCGGCCCCCCTCGCCCCTGCCACTTTCGAGGGGCCGCAGAGGGAACGGCGGGGCGCGCGATGACGACGCCCCCCGCGGACGCGCCCACGAACGCCCTCCGTGCTCCGCAGGGCTCTCTGTTAGGGACCGCCCCCCATCAATAGGGGGTTGCCTCTTTTGATCCCACTTTTAGCACGCCTGTTCGGCGTCGCTCTGGCAGCGCTGGCCCCCGCCCCTTGCTGGGCGCCGCCGGGCCCGGCCTGCGGCTGGAAAGTGAAGCCGATGACGTGCCCGCCGCTTGCAGTTCGGCGTCGGCCTGCGCCGCCCCGGCGGGCGACGATGGCCCGCGGCCCGCCGCCGCCAAGTTCCCCGCTGCCCCCGGCATCCCGCGCGCCCCCCCCCTCGCGGCCGCTGCGCGTTAGGTGCCGAGGGGGCGCCCGCCCGCCCTCTCTTATTGGACGCGCGCCCTCCGCGCCCCACAGATCGCTGCCTCCAGACGCCCTTGCGCGCGCAAGGGAAGAGGCCGCCCACGTCCGGAGCAGCGGCGCGGCAGGGGCCCCGGGCAGCTCCGTGGCCCCGCGACCGGGCTTATGCAAGCGCGCAGGGGGGGAGGAAACTGCGACCCCGATCAGCAGGCACGCCGCCCCCCGGTCCGCGCGCCCGGCAGGGGGCAGGAGAAGGGGCCGCCAGGCTTTCGCGTGAGCCCCCGCCCATGCGAGCGCCCCGGGTAGGCGGGCCCCCGCCGCCCGGCGCTGAAGAATCCCGTGGGCCTCCAGACTGGTGGCCGAAGGTATGGTTCTATGGCGAGGCGCGCGCAGCCGCGGTGCCATCGACCAGCTGTTCCTCTGGCCCGCGCGCCCCCGGGCCACCCGAAATCTGGGGGCATATGGGAAGCGCGGCGACGCAGCTTTCATCATCGAGCTCGTCGGCTGGGCGAAAGTCGAGGGCTGGCCCTGCGCGTGGGCGCGCTGCGACGGGGGCATCATGGCGGTCTGCGCGGGCGACTTCACGTCGGCGGCGACCGCGGCGAAAGCGCAGAAACACAGGGAGGGTCTCGGCCGCCGCGTCATTCTTAGGAGCAGGATGCCGATGTCCTCGGGCACCCTGGCGCGATCTACAATTTCGACAAGATGGGCAGCGCGCGCCCGCTGCGTCCCAGGACGGCGGCTGCAAGCATGAGCAGCTACCTGCTCAATGCGACGCAGAAGTTTTATGGGCGAGCGCATGCGTCAAGGCCCCGCGGAAGGCGGCGGCGCCATTCCCTCCAGAGACAGAGTCGTGGACGCCAGCGGGCGACGAGCAGGGGCCCCCCCTGCTTTCGCTGCCTCATTCGTTGCTTCTGGACTTTCTGCTGGCCTGGCCAGCCGCCCCGGCCTCGGCGCGGCGACCCAGCGCGGGCGTTCGCGTGTAACATATTCTTCTGTGACAGACGACGTGTCCCTCATTGAGTTCGCGGCCTGCATGAGAGAGCGCCATGACTTGGAATTGCGCTGCGCATTAGGCCCAGACGACCTGGGCGACTTGGAGATAGGTTTCTGGCCGCGCGCAGACTGGAATGGCGACGCCAGCGTTGCGAAAAGCACGAGCGGTCTCTTCTTTGAACGACGCGTCGCGGGATTTGCGAGCACATTTTCTGCGACGTGGAAGGTTTCTCACCGAACGGCCGCGGCGAGCACGTCAGCGTGATCGGATGCAGTTCGCGCGCCCGGCGCCGTTCTGCACGTTGCGCCCCCAATCCAGACCCTGCTCCAAGCCCGCCCGCGCGGTCTGGCGCCGACCCGGCGCAGCGTTGACAGCGCGCGGGCCATCGCGGCCATCGCGAGGGGCGGCGGCGAGCGTCTCCGCTGCCTTTCTCGGGCGCATCGTTGTTCGATCGGGGCCGTGGGCGAAATCCGCGAGGGCCCCGAAGCAGCTCTGGGCGTTGCGCGCGCCCCCGCGGCGACTCACAAGCGCGAGCTCCCCAGTGAAGCCTTGGGCCGACCCCGTTTCATTGGGCTCGGGCGCGCGCGGGCGCGCGGGGGCGCGGCGTTTTCGAGACGCAGCAGCGATGTGCAAGCTATTTCTCCATCCCCCCTCCCCCCGCGCACCCCGCCCACCCGCCCCTCGCGCCGAGAAGGCGTCGCGGCAGTCTGTGCGATCACCTCAGAATGGAGGGCGGCCTGGGCCACGGGCCCGCCTGGACTCGCGCTGGCT